ATTTCTATGCTTCCCACATTCCAGTATCAACGCTGTGGTGCCTTTCCTCCCCCATCTGGTTACCAGGTCTCACCTGATCTATCTCCAGCAGCTGGGCATTGGCACCCGGCCACTCAACAGCCACTTTCACAATGTCTGAAGGCGGTGGCATTGCTCCAGACTCCTCCAAGTGCCTTTACAACAGCATACACCTCCACACCTGTTAAGAGAAAGGACAGTGAGTATCTCTCTGAAAACCATTTCACTTGTTACACTGGATCTAACACGAAACTTCAAAACCAGACATGATCAGCATTATGGTTTCCTGGGCCTGACGGGGACAAAACATCCACCACAGCAGAGATCAAGGCCTCACACTAAAACAGCACATCATGAAATGGCACATCCAACCTTATCCCCTAGAATAGTTCTGAGAGCTTGTCAGGCTACTCCCAAGAAGGAGGGAGGGCTTTGCTCTGCTCAGCAAAGCCCCATCTAGCACCCACCATCTGTACTGCCGGGTCAGTTCACAGAGGTAGTAAGGAAATAACTCCCCAGGCTTGGCTGCTGTCTGTATGTGGGAGCAGAAACACACTGTCCACGTAGCTTCCCTCCTGTGGGTTGGACAAGGTGAGGCCACACAAAGGAAGACTGCTCATACGAGGATTCAATTAAATTAGTGTTTCAAAGAAGCCTTCACAGCCCACAGAGCCAGGCTAATTCACAAACAGAAAGCACAGAGCCTATGGTGTCCTATGGAAACACTGCCTCCAAACCCCCTGAGCATGTCTTATCACAAATTTCTTCTCAAATTTTGATTACCAGCGCTCTATTCTCTCATTCCAAGACAGACAATTTACTCTTTGCTAACAGAGACATGTGAACTTGCAGCAAATATGTTCTCAAGAGGCCTCTAACCCTGAAGGCATACAGAGCTGCTGGTGCTATTTTCCCATCCATTACAATCAATAATTTAGGCTCTACTCCTTTATTCCACACTCGTCCTGAAGCAGTTCATCTTCTGGTCTCCAAAGTAAACTAGAAATTCAGGCAATAAAGCATAAGGAACCAGGACCAGAATTGTACCTTGCCTCAATGCATAAGCAGAGCAAAGCACTCAGGAATCTTCATAAAGACAGGAAAGCTTTGAACCCAGATATATTTAGAAGGCTGAAGCAGTTAGTACTGGGGTATCCAATGCAAGCTTACTCACACCAGTTTCCTTCAGCCTCTTCACAAATCAATGGTCAATACCTGATATGTCTGAGGACAGCAAAAGTCTGCCAAGCACAGCACACTGCAAGTCAGAAGAGTCCTTCCTGATCCAAAAATGCTTCCTCTAACATTCAAGTACAGTGTTATAAAGAGACAAGGCAGAACCAGGAAAGCCTGCTGACCCAACGTACTCCACAGCAGCAGCCATAAGAAGTCAGAGCTTACACAACACTGCTGTCTTGCAAAAAGACAGACGAACCCAATAAAAATATGAATCAGTCTTCCTCACTTCCTTTTTCCCAAATTACACACACACTAAAATAAAATAAAAATAATTTAGACTTTCAAATGTCTCTTGCAGCAATAAATCAACTAAATCTTTAAGTATACATTGGCAATTACTGGCATACAATCAGGAGTTCTGCATGTACTCCCCAAAGTGCCCAATTTGTACGACACCCTCAGATCTGTAGGACATACAGTTTTCCATGTATTAGATCCAGAAACAGACAGGCAGTTCCCAAAAGGTGTGTGATTTCCACTCACTCTTCTCCATTCAGCAATTAAAGCCTATGATGGCCTACACCTGACAGCCTGAGAAAACTCAGTCCTGTGCAGAAGCATCATCTCCAATAACCAGACTGGCTTGTAATAACTGAATAGGTAATTACTGCTCCCATGAGTGAGCCAATTTGCAATTAGAAAACATCAAACCCCTTCAGTGTTCAAGGCACGACAAATACACAGTGAAGAGACAAGGCTCAAAGATTACTTCCTGGAGTATTAAGAACTGAATTTGCAACTTTTAAACTAATATACCCACAAGTAATTAGCATCTAATTACCACTTCTCCCCTCAGCCTCTTGTAGAACAGCCACAGCCTTTTATTTGCACTGTGACTTACACTGCAAGGTGCTACTAAAGAGTAGAAGGAAATATGGTACTTTATATGCCAAAACAGGCACACAGATTACTAGAGGTAGTAGCTTTGCAAATCTCTAACTTGCCTTTTTCCATGCAGAGAACATGCCTCATTAAGAGAGAGGAAGTGCCCATTAGAACAGAAACACTGATATTATGGGAAGTTGCACAGAAATCACAGAACCATTTAGGCTGGAAAATACCCTTAAGATTACCAAGTCCAACTGTAACCCTAACACCTCCCAGTCCAGCACTAAATCATGCCCCTAAATGCCATATAAATGTCCTGTTCCATAAAAAAAGTACTGCAGAGGTTGGCCCACAGCTCCCAGAATCCATGCACTCTACCTGCAGCTTCCCTGATATCCTCACCACTGAAAACACGGACCAGTCAAGTTGTGTTGCATTCCCTTGATATCTCAAAAAAAAAAAAAAAGCTCTCAGCTGCATACAAATGCAAAGTAATTCACCATGATCTTTAAGACTATTTCTGCCCCAAATTTCTTCCATAAATGAGCACCCACTCACGACTGGCAAGCATGTTCCAATCAGTATTCAAGGCACAGCAAATACACAGCGAAACAAATAGAGCTTAAAGACTGTTTCTTTGCACAGCAGCACCACGGAACAGATACCACAGGTATCTCTACTAAGGCAGAGATTTGAAGACCAAGAGGAATTGGCTAAGCAGAACCCAGAGAAGCAAGAATTAAAAATTAAAAAAGGTAGGAAACTCTCCAAACAGCCTGGGTCAAACAATCCTTTGAAGGACCCACACGGATCAGTGGCTCAGCAGGAGCAGCTTTCCAGAAGAGGAGAATGAAGAGTGGACTATGAATACAAAGGGTACTTCAGGTCAGCCTCTTAGCACCAGGTTGTCTGCCAAAAGCATGCTTTGAAACGATTTCACTGCATGTCTGCAGACAAGAGAGGCATCAGATGTTCAGTTTTACAATGGATATTTTGCAGTGCAATAGTGATAGAGCTGATAAAATGACTGTTCAGAATCTCTCATGAAGCACAGACTGTGATTTTCCATAATTGTGATTATCAGTTACTTATGGGTCTCTCACAGCACGTTCTTCACAACAACAGCATGTAAACAATTCCCACAGTTTTACAGAGGGAGACAGCAGCCAAGCTGAAATCCATCAAAAATTAATTCCCTCTGCTTCTGCAGAGTGAGCTCTGTCATACAAAGCAGTGGTGCAGGGGTAGCTGCAGGGCAAGAAATCAGCACAACCAACTAAAAACACACTATTCAAGAGACTTCTGAGAAGCTGCAAGCTAAAACAACTGGAGTATTTTAAGCAGAACTTCCCTATTCACAAACTCAATCTTCTTTTCATTACAGATAGAGAACAAAGTGTGCTGCACACAGAATGAAAATGAGGAGGATGAAAGAACATTCCCTGAAAAAGAAAAGCTGCCTGGTAGAATCACCCAGTCAACAAGCAAATAGATGCAGCTTCTGAAACCTGTAGATGCAACAAAACACCCTAGTCAGATCTCAGAAAGTCCCCACACGGAGCTAACAGGCCAAGGGAAAGGTGGAAGTGATGTTGGCAGAAGGACCAACTGGACAGGTGTGTAGAGAAGACACCTTGGCCACGCAGCATGAAAACGTAGTAGACAGCAGAGTACAACCCCAGGGCTATAGAGTTTTCTTTCTATGCTACCTCACATAACAAGCAATAAGAAACATCCTTCACCAGAGGAACCAAAGAACCAAATGGCTCAGAATCCATCTCTGGAATCCCACATTCCTCCAAAGGCCTTCCACAGCTGCACTTTGGCTGTACAACACTAAGCCTACGTGCTCTGGTCGAGCACATTCCAACACAGCTTGGCACAGGCCACATCCTGGCAAAGACAGAAACCGACAGCAACAGGCAAAAAGAGAACTGCTTTTTTAATTATTTTTAATCAGTCATGTGAGCCGAAAGCCGACAGTGAGTCGGCCCCTACTGAAGCTTGGGCCAAAGCCCGATTTAAGGCGCTAAACGATTTTTTTTTTTTTTTTTTCTGCAAAGCGCTCTCCGTGCTGTGCCTCGGGCCCCGAGGGAGCGGCGGACTCGCCCCTCCGGGGGCAGCCGGGGATGCACAGCGGGAGCTGCGGGGACGGGCGGGCGACCCCCGGAGCCTGGGGAGGGCGGCGGGCGGGGGAGGCAGCAGGGTCCGGGGAGGCAGCAGGGGCCGGGGAGGCAGCAGGGTCCGGGGAGGCAGCAGGGTCCGGGGAGGCAGCAGGGGCCGGGGAGGCAGCGGACTCGCGGTTCGAGGTGCTGCCCCGACGGCTGCGGCTCCCCATCCCCATCCCCTCCGCATCCCCGCCCGCGCCCACCCGGACCCGCCGCGGCCGCTCCGCGCTCCGGCCGCCCCGGCACCGCCCATGGGCGCGTCATGCGCCCGCCGCGCTGCCATGGAGACCACGGAGAACATGGATAACATGGATAACATGGAGAACACGGAGAACATGGACACCCGAGCCCGCCCGCCCGCGGCGGCACGACCCGCCGGCCCCGCCACCCCCAGCGGCACCCCCCCCCCCCCAGCCCGGGTGTCGGCAGCCTCCTCAGTCCCTCCGACCGGGCGCCCCCCGTCCCTCCTCGCCTGCGGGGCCGCCGCGGGAGGGCTCACGTCAGCTCCCCGTGCCCACCGAGCGCCGCCTCCGGGCGCGGCTGCGAGCGCCAGGGGCCGCCGGGGCTCATGCAGGGCGGGCGCCCGGGCCGGCGCGGGGCTCTGGGGCGGCGGCGCGGCCGCGCTCGGCTCCCTCCGCCCCGACAGCGGGGCCGCGGAGCTCCGCGCAGCCCCCGCCCCGCCGGGTCCGTCCCCCCCCCGGGAGCGCGTCCGCGGAGCGCCGGAACGGGCGGTGCCCGCGCAGGGCGGGCGGAAGTCGCGGTGTCCGCGCGTCGGAGCTTCCGCCGTGTGTGCGGGGAGAGGGGGCGCGGCGGGAGCGCTGTTGGCGGCGGCGGGAGCGAGCACCGAGAGCCGCAGCCATGGTGAGCCCCCGCGGGGACGGGGATGGGGATGGGGAGAGCCCCGCTCGGCCCGCGGGTTAACCCGGCGGTCTCTTTGCAGACGGTGGGCAAGAGCAGCAAGATGCTGCAGCACATCGACTACCGCATGCGGTGCATCCTGCAGGACGGGCGCGTCTTCATCGGCACGTTCAAGGCCTTCGACAAGCACATGAACCTCATCCTCTGCGACTGCGACGAGTTCCGCAAGATCAAGTGAGCGGCGGGGGCGGCGGGCGGGGCCCCCGGTCCTGCGGAGGGGCCTCGGGGCGAGAGCCGGGGCATCGTCTGCTGGAACACTCGTGTGTTTAGTCTTACCGGGCAAATCCCCAAACTGTCATCGTTCAAGAGGCACCTTGCTTCAGTTCTTTCCAAATAACCAAAATATACCCCTCTGTGATGCCAGTTGTAACGGTTCAGACTTCTCTATATACTTAGTTTGAGGCATATAAAAATGTGATTTTTGTGGTGGGCTCTCCTCTTTGGAGAAGCAGCCTAGTCATATATATCCTCTTGTAAATTCAAGGAGCATCGTTCATTCTTTTTTTTTTTTCTTTTTCTGTTTTGCAATGTTTTCTTCTCACCAGACCTAAAAATTCAAAACAGCCAGAGCGGGAAGAGAAACGAGTCCTTGGTCTTGTGTTGCTGCGAGGGGAAAACCTGGTATCCATGACAGTTGAAGGACCACCTCCAAAAGACGTAAGAACGAGCACAGAACTAAGCAAAAAGAGAAAGGATATCCAATATATTTGCTTCCTTGCAGGGGAATGCTACTGTTGTTCTGTTCTAGCCTTCCAGATGCTGTTGTGACTAGGTCCAACAAATTTCACTGTAGGAAGCTCTTGTTCCTTTGTGGGCTTGGATGTTTAATTGGACAGAGGAGGGCTGTGGGCATCCCTGAGGACCTGAGGATTTTAATTTTGATAAATCTTTCTTTTTGGGGGATCTCTTTTCAGACTGGAATTGCACGGGTTCCTCTTGCTGGTGCTGCCGGAGGACCTGGAGTTGGGAGAGCAGCAGGGAGGGGAGTACCAGCTGGTGCTCCCATGCCACAGGCTCCAGCAGGATTAGCTGGCCCTGTCAGAGGAGTGGGAGGACCATCCCAACAGGTGAGATGCTGTGACCCATATGGTTTTTCTTTTTTGGTACCAGTGTGATGTAAGAAATCCGTTACCATGAAGTTTGAGCCTAGCAAGGCTTTTTGGTGCTAGATTGCCCTAGGAACTCTCTTATATGATGAAGAGGATTGAAAAATGCAGCTTTTTGCACGTAACTCAAGTGGTATCCTTTGAATTGTATTACAGGTTTGTAGCATTGTTTAATAGGTTAGAGGAGACCGGTGTGACTTTTCTGAAGGGGAATTTCAGTGTTGCTTATACTTTAGTTATTAATACAAAGCAGATGTTTTGCTGTTTTTCTGTGAGCCTGTTTATTTTGTCTGCAGGTGATGACACCCCAGGGCCGTGGAACAGTCGCAGCTGCTGCTGCAGCAGCCACTGCCAGCATTGCAGGAGCCCCAACTCAGTACACCCCAGGGCGTGGGGGTCCTCCCCCACCCATGAGCAGAGGAGCCCCTCCTCCAGGTAGGAGTCACTCTGCACAGTGGGGTAGCAAGGAGCTCATGTTCTGTGGCAGAATTGGTGATAAAGAGGTAGTTATCCCAGTCTGATGAAGAACTGGTATTATGGAGGATATCCTGATGTCCAGCTAGTGCCTTGAATATTCAGCTGGATTTACATGCTTTGGTTTTTCTCGGGTTTCAGGAATGATGGGACCTCCTCCGGGCATGAGACCACCCATGGGCCCACCAATGGGAATGCCACCTGGCCGAGGTGCTCCTATGGGAATGCCCCCACCAGGAATGAGACCACCACCCCCAGGAATGAGAGGTGAGTGCAGGTTCTCCTGCCTAGAAACTATAAGAAGCTGTAAGATGTTTGAAGGGTGATGCATTCCAATGTCTCCCTAGCTCTGCTAGTTGACAGTAAGTGCTTTGGTGCCAAAAAAAAAGGGGTCCTAAGGCTACACTGGGCACAGGGAAAATGTCTTTTTGGTTTAGCATTGCTGCTTCTTTCCTCTTCAACCCTTTCCTTTATTCCCAGGACCCCCTCCACCCGGCATGCGTCCACCTAGACCGTGAGATTAGTCCATGATGTACCTCTGAACTGTGAGAAGACCCAAGTAAGGGGATACATCGAGCAGTACCACCTCTCAAACCTTTGTAATGTATATTTTATATTTACTGCTTGTCAACGTTGCCCTTTTTAATAAAGTTGGAAAACCCAATACTTGGGAGTCACTGTTGTACTGCTCTGTTTATTTCAGGAGTGTAGCTGTTATTTTTTATTGGTGCACTATGGTCATCCCAGAAGAGCATGTTTGAGGCAAAAAGCTCAATTTGTATAAACAGCTCAGAAACAAACAGTTGGTCTGTGTTCCTTATAGGAATTAAACCATAACAATGAAATTTACCAAGGCTGATGGAAAAAAAAAAAGGTTGGGACAGTGGAGATGGTAAAAATTCCAAGAAAGATTTAACATTTAAATGAAATTAAGTATGGCCTACTGATCAGAATGCTCCCTTGGGTTAAGAACAGTGATTGATGTTTTGCATCAAGGCTGCAGTAAACCTGTTTGGTCTTTATAGGAGGATCTGCATTGCTTCTAGTAAAAAGAAAACACCAAAAACCAGGATGAGCAAACCTGTCATTATATACAATAAAATACACCAGACCCCATTCTGGTTATAGTCTTCCCTTTTGCCTCAGCTTACAGCTGCTTTCATTGGGAGTTAGGAGGAAGCTGCCCACTCTGCCCACCTTGGACGTAATAATTCCTTCAGATGGCAACCTCTTGGAGATCTGTTGTAATTCCTGTGACTGTCACCTCCAAAGCCATCTTTGTAACAGTCTGAAAATCTTTCTTTTTCCTATTACAGGAATAGGCTCTCAACAACAGAAATCCTTTTCAGCTCTATTAATTAACTGAGATCACAGAAGTATATGAACAAAGCACTGTTCAGGTTTTGCCCTAAAGACAACTTGACTTACATGAAGTAAAAGTCTGATCGATGTAACAGGTCCCAGCTCTCAGGTGCTCTAGCTGTGCTATAAAACAGAGTAAACCTAAAAATATAATTCTTTATTGCATGGGCTGCTACAGATGTTTTCACAAAGGGTCTTCAAGCAAGTATTGGCAAACATTCCAAAGCTATTCCAGAGGTTGAAGAAAAACTTCAGTTTTACTGAAGTTGTCTCCTTGCAGTACAAAGAAATTGAGGCTCTGTACAGAGCATGTCTGACATTACCCATCTGGTAACTGCCAACAGTTCTTACTTCCTCTTGTACCTGAAAGAGAAGATAACTGAAATGACATTCCACTCCAGCCCAACTCTCAGTGACAGATGAGGAGCAGCACAGTATTTTCTAGGTGAAGTATTTTCCCAAGTAGAAGCCTAGGAATGTGCTATTAAAGGCAGTGTCCTTGATTGCCCCCAGACCTGCAGTAGGAGGGTAAGGTACTGTAGAACCAACAAACCTTTTAGCAAGGGCCTTTAAGCAATCACAAGAAGAAGAAAAAAGAAAGCAGGGGAAAAAACCCCCAAACTTGAGTAAGAAAGTAAAGGGAGCTATACCTGGACTTGGATTTGAAGTTTCCTCCTTTCCTGCGCTGGGCAATACCCAGACGTTTTCGATCCTCAAACGAAGGGCTTTTGAGAGAGAGGGGAAGGAGGAGAGGTAAGACAGCAAGAATTATATCAAGCACAGTACTTCTGAGAAGAACCCTGCCCACCTTTTCCCTCCAGTATCAGTCAAGGTATCCCTGAGGAAGTCCAGAGATGCAAAAATTTCATCTACTAAAGTCTGGACTAAGGTAGTAGTGCTAAGACCTTACCCAGCACGGTACTGCTTCAGAGCCTTCCTGCTCGTGTTGGTCAGCTCTTCATCAAACACGGACACTTTTTTCTTCTTCTTAGGGCCTAACAGAGACAATATGCAGAACAATGGTTGTAAATGGAAGGCCACAGCATCATCCCAGTCCTCTTGACCACAACAGGTAGCCTAACCATCAGGAAGAGCAATGACAGCTCTCTGCAAACATGGTGGCCATTCCTTCAAAGAGCAATGCCTCCCTCTATACAAACTAGTTTAATTTACCTATTTCTAGCAAAGTAAGTCACATAAGGTAAGTCAGCTGTAAAACAAGTCTCTACCTGCTGGTACTGCTGCTGGTTCCTCTTCTGGCAAGGCTCTGGCTCTCTTTGCTCGGCGATTCCTCTTGGCCAGACGCTCAGCATACATTTGAGATTTCAAGATTTCAAACTGTGACCTTTCCTCTGGCTGAAAGATGTTAAAATGCAAGTTTGCAGTGATGTGAGGTTTTGCTAAGGGAAAACTGACAGTCCACCCAGGGTCCCACTTGTCCATAAATGTACTCACAGTCATTTGGGCTTTTTTCTGTGTGTCCTGCATAAATTTCTTCCTTTTCTTTTTCCCCCGCAGTGCTAGGTCAAATTCCTGCAGGGCTTTAGCCACTGGAAAGAAAAAGAGAAACAGAATAAAGAACCTCCTAAAGCAGAGAGCAGAGGCCAGTTGCAGCTACAGAATTTAACATGGCAGCAGTGTCATGACTCACATTTCTCCTTCTTCCTCTCTTCACGGGTCTGGAACCAGCTCCGCTCCAAACTCTCACCTCCAGTCTCTTTTTTTCCTGTCTCCAGCTGCTTCTTTGCCTTATTGATCTAAGATAATTCAGGAAAGAGGTGAGCTCACAGTGGATAAAAAAATACTTGTCTCTTTCCCTTCTAAAGTAGGCAGGTTAAGTACATTTAGGGCAACCTCAATATGGACTATATCTACACTAGATCCTAAAAGAAAATTTCCTAAAAAAAAAAAGCTTACCTGGGCCTCTGACTGCTGCATCTCACGTTCCTCACGCTCCAAGCACAGAACTGCATAGATATCTTTCTCTAGATTCTCAATCTTCTCTCGAAATTTTAATATGACATCTGAAAGCAATACCGTGTGAACATCAGAGGCAGCTCACGTCAAGTCCCTCTTGTTTTTCAGCACCTCTTTCAGCGTCCCCTTCTACCATGATATTCCCTGGGCACTGCTCTCCCGCTTTTTACCTCAGTGAGGTGTGTACCTTGGGGGAGAATTCTGGCTTTCACTGCTGTTTTAGCAGCCTTGACAATATCCTTCAGCATCTTGCGCTCCTCCTCACCCACAAGTGAGACTGAACGCCCAGCCTTGCCTGCTCTGGCTGTCCGACCCACACGGTGGACATAGTGCTTGGTGGTGTTGGGCATGGTAAAATTGATAACCTGTAAGAGAAACAGTGTTACTAGGGAAACAACATTTAAGGGCATCATTAAAAACCTCAGCACTGCAAACACTCACTGTTTTAACACCTTCGATATCAAGTCCACGTGCAGCCACATCTGTAGCTACCAGGATATCAATCTGCTCATCCTTAAAGCGCCTGAGCAGAGAAAGCAAATGCATTAGCAATGCAAGTAGCAATCTGCTTCTGCCCCAAAACTTCCAACTTTGATCTTCTTTTTAGCCCAGGATTGCCAACTAAGCTTGCTAATACCTGAGTGATTCCAGCCGCTGTGCCTGAGAGAGGTTCCCGTGCAGCTCCCCGACCCGCAGCCCCATCAGTCCCAGCAGGATGTGCATCCGGTGAGCCTGCTTCTTGGTCTGGGTGAACAGCATCACGTGATCTCGGAACGTTCGTGTCAGGAGAGCTAAAAGAAAGTCCTCTCAGAATCTTGCTTCGTAGTCACTCAGTGATTCCAGCCTGTCTTTGCCCATCACTAACCTGTTACAATGGCCTCACGGTCCCCCTCTCGGTTGGGTCTGATCCGGATGAATTCCTGCCGCAGGAAAGGCGCAACATCCGTGTTGCTGTTCACAAAAATTCGGACGGGATTTTTCAGGGAAACGGAAGCCAAATCCTTCACCTACAAAACCAGGTTAAGGACCAAAAAGTCCACATGATTTCTGGTAAAAGAAACTCCCATTCAACTTCCTGCCTCAAAGCTTCTCTGCAGCTTGTCTTACCTCCTCTGTCATTGTGGCAGAGAAAAGCATTGTCTGACGGTGGTGTGAGCACAACCTGATTATTTCCTTCATCTGTTCCTCAAAGTACTCATCCAGCATCCTACATAGGAGAAAAACAGCAAGGTAAGGCAGCTTCACTGGTCGTAGGCAAGAAACATTACTTAAGGCAGGGCAACAAAACCAGCCCTACAGCCTGGGAAAAGGGAAGGAGAAAACTGCCATGTTTTCCCTGCTGTCCTGCTGACCCTACCTGTCCGCTTCATCCAAAATCAGCACCTCAACACTGCTGAGGTGGAAAGAAGGGCAGTTGTGGAGATGATCAATCAGTCGCCCAGGAGTGGCAATAAGAATGTCTGGCCCAGAGCGCAGAGCTGCTTCCTGAGTCTTCACATCCAGGCCACCTGAAAGAGAGTGAACACGGACTGCTGACCCCCCGAGCAGCTGCAGCAGAGTACAGGGATGCAAACGGCCTGAGGAATGGGAAACAACTCAGATTAAACCACATTCACACATAGAAGTGACCCTGCATCTTCTTTCTCAGACACCAACAAACAAGTACAGCACAACACTGGAAAGTGAGATGTTAAACCACAACATATCTATTAGAAGCATAATAACTGTACAGCCTCCAGTTTCACAACACAGAATTCCCATTTCCCTATAGTGGTTTACAGTGAGCTGTACAGTTCACATAAACAACTTAATACTCACCTACTGCAAGGCAAGTTGTGACACTGCTGAACTGTGCCAGCTGTTTTGTGACAGAGTGCACCTGAATACCCAGCTCTCGTGTTGGCACAAGAACCAAAACACGTGTTATTGGAGCCTGACGAGGTTTGTAAATCAGGCGCTCAAGGACAGGCAAGATGAAGGCAGCTGTTTTACCTAAAGAAAAAAATTAAAAAGAATTAGCAATTATTGTGAATAGCTGATTCTCCACGTTCTGGTGCCCTGCTCAAGCCCCTACCTGTCCCAGTGGCAGCACAGGCACAAATATCCTTTCCCAGAAGACCCACTGGGATACAAGCCTTCTGAATTGGGGTTGGTTGCTTGAAACCAAGAGCTGTGATTGCCTACAAAGGAGATAAAGCAATTAAACTCTGTCTCTGGTATGGACACACCTGGAGTACTGTGTCCAGCCCTGGGCTCCTGAGTAAAAGAGACACAGACATGCTGGAGAGAGAGACCAGCAAAGGGCCACGAAGATTATGAAGGACCTGGGAGCACCTCACACA